GAGAATTTTGGCTCCCTTTCTTTCCCAAAAACTAATTCCTCAAAAGTGTCTATTAGAAAAGCCTAAATTCACGACTGAGAAAACCATATAGCATATGTGTTTACAATTAACCATTATAATTATTATTGCAAATTGACGCGATTTTATTACACTCTTTTCACAAAGTTAGAAAAGACGAGACAAGCAAGCGCAATATCATTATGTTTAAAAAGTATTGACTCGATGTCTTTACTACTATCGATGCAAATGAACTGTAATATATGAAGTTTAATATTTATTATTGTTTTTATAGCCAAGCTAAGTCATTAAACATTAGATACGAATATTCTTTTATTTTAATAACTTGTATGATACTAGTTATTGAAACCTATAATATTTTGTATGTACATCATATAAAATAATCAAAAAACTAAAATGCTTTAATATACGCACTTGTTGAGCAACTTCATTTGCTTGGAAAACATTTTCTTTGTCCACGCATATACGCGCTTTGAACATCGATGATGAGGTGTTAAAAGTTTTCAGAAAATGACGAAATAGGATTGAAATACTTTATTTTGCTGAGCGGAAGCTTCTTCAACAGATTGCGTCTGTTCGCGGCAGGATTTTTTTTTTTTGAGAGGATGTAGTCAAAAAAAGATAACGGAAACCCTTACGACTTTTATCAAAGGGATCAGGGACTTGAGATATGTATTACAAGCTTTATACGTATTGGTATTTATGTTTTATGTTGAACTAATTTAATGATTTATAGTATACATAAAATACAGTGTTTATTTATTAATTTATGAACTAAAATTAAACTTAGTAAAAAGGTAAATGAACACAACATATTTTTCAAGACGTGTCAACGTATAGCCAATACCGCAACAGGCACTCAAACTCTGATTTTGATTACTAAGGAGAACGTCATTCGTCTACTGGTTTCGTTCTTATTTGGACTAATCAGCAGAAAATAGACATTCTAGATTCCAGTCTCTAATGTAATCTGCATTTGCGTTAAATTCACCAGCCTGCATTTATGGAGGTTGGGCGAGAATAAGAAGCACTAAGCTAAATCGAAGCCAAGCGGAAAATTAAAAAAAAAAGGAAAAAGGTGGGAACTAGCTTTCGTACATTTTCCTACATACCTATATTTCTATTATGGTCAAGCAGACCGTGGAAAAGTTCGTATCTAAGCGCAATCTACTAATAGGTTTAATTGATATTAATTGATTAAGTGTAAGGGTTAAAGAAAAGGTCCTTTATTTGTCACAAGTGAATTTAATTGGCGACCGGTTTCGAAGCTGTCACTTCATCATCAGGCACACCTTGACTATTTCCATAAAGGAAGCGCTACATAAAGTTTAACAAAACGAGTTAAAAAAGTCATATGTAATACAATAGTTTTTTTTTTTTTTTAAATATTGTAGGTTAGGTTAAACCGCGAGATGTCTGTTTGAATAAATTAATTAAAACACATGTAAGACTATTGTTAACTAAACAACACAAAATAGTTTTTACAAGCACAGTTTAAAAATTTTTAAGGATATAACGTCAATTAATAAAAGTCCAAATCACTCCAAAAAAGATATTAATTGATATAATTGCGTTTTAATTATTTAATTTTTTTGAGTAAAATTCATAGAAATTTATAAAACAAAATCATTAATATTCATAGAAATTCATAGAAATTCATAGAAATTCATAGAAATTCATAGAAATTCATAGAAATTCATAGAAATTCATAGAAATTCATAGAAATTCATAGAAATTCATAGAAATTCATAGAAATTCATAGAAATTCATAGAAATTCATAAAAATTCATAGAAATTCATAGAAATTCATAGAAATTCATAGAAATTCATAGAAATTCATAGAAATTCATAGAAATTCATAGAAATTCATAGAAATTCATAGAAATTCATAGAAATTCATAGAAATTCATAGAAATTCATAGAAATTCATAGAAATTCATAGAAATTCATAGAAATTCATAGAAATTCATAGAAATTCACAGAAATTTATAGAAATTCATAGAAATTCATAGAAATTCATAGAAATTCATAGAAATTCATAGAAATTCATAGAAATTCATAGAAATTCATAGAAATTCATAGAAATTCATAGAAATTCATAGAAATTCATAGAAATTCATAGAAATTCATAGAAATTCATAGAAATTCATAGAAATTCATAGAAATTCATAGAAATTCATAGAAATTCATAGACATTCATAGAAATTCATAGAAATTCATAGAAATTCATAGAAATTCATAGAAATTCATAGAAATTCATAGAAATTCATAGAAATTCATAGAAATTCATAGAAATTCATAGAAATTCATAGAAATTCATAGAAATTCATAGAAATTCATAGAAATTCATAGAAATTCATAGAAATTCATAGAAATTCATAGAAATTCATAGAAATTCATAGAAATTCATAGAAATTCATAGAAATTCATAGAAATTCATAGAAATTCATAGAAATTCATAGAAATTCATAGAAATTCATAGAAATTCATAGAAATTCATAGAAATTCATAGAAATTCATAGAAATTCATAGAAATTCATAGAAATTCATAGAAATTCATAGAAATTCATAGAAATTCATAGAAATTCATAGAAATTCATAGAAATTCATAGAAATTCATAGAAATTCATAGAAATTCATAGAAATTCATAGAAATTCATAGAAATTCATAGAAATTCATAGAAATTCATAGAAATTCATAGAAATTCATAGAAATTCATAGAAATTCATAGAAATTCATAGAAATTCATAGAAATTCATAGAAATTCATAGAAATTCATAGAAATTCATAGAAATTCATAGAAATTCATAGAAATTCATAGAAATTCATAGAAATTCATAGAAATTCATAGAAATTCATAGAAATTCATAGAAATTCATAGAAATTCATAGAAATTCATAGAAATTCATAGAAATTCATAGAAATTCATAGAAATTCATAGAAATTCATAGAAATTCATAGAAATTCATAGAAATTCATAGAAATTCATAGAAATTCATAGAAATTCATAGAAATTCATAGAAATTCATAGAAATTCATAGAAATTCATAGAAATTCATAGAAATTCATAGAAATTCATAGAAATTCATAGAAATTCATAGAAATTCATAGAAATTCATAGAAATTCATAGAAATTCATAGAAATTCATAGAAATTCATAGAAATTCATAGAAATTCATAGAAATTCATAGAAATTCATAGAAATTCATAGAAATTCATAGAAATTCATAGAAATTCATAGAAATTCATAGAAATTCATAGATATTCATAGAAATTCATAGAAATTCATAGAAATTCATAGAAATTCATAGAAATTCATAGAAATTCATAGAAATTCATAGAAATTCATAGAAATTCATAGAAATTCATAGAAATTCATAGAAATTCATAGAAATTCATAGAAATTCATAGAAATTCATAGAAATTCATAGAAATTCATAGAAATTCATAGAAATTCATAGAAATTCATAGAAATTCATAGAAATTCATAGAAATTCATAGAAATTCATAGAAATTCATAGAAATTCATAGAAATTCATAGAAATTCATAGAAATTCATAGAAATTCATAGAAATTCATAGAAATTCATAGAAATTCATAGAAATTCATAGAAATTCATAGAAATTCATAGAAATTCATAGAAATTCATAGAAATTCATAGAAATTCATAGAAATTCATAGAAATTCATAGAAATTCATAGAAATTCATAGAAATTCATAGAAATTCATAGAAATTCATAGAAATTCATAGAAATTCATAGAAATTCATAGAAATTCATAGAAATTCATAGAAATTCATAGAAATTCATAGAAATTCATAGAAATTCATAGAAATTCATAGAAATTCATAGAAATTCATAGAAATTCATAGAAATTCATAGAAATTCATAGAAATTCATATAAATTCATAGAAATTCATGGAAATTCATAGAAATTCATAGAAATTCATAGAAATTCATAGAAATTCATAGAAATTCATAGAAATTCATAGAAATTCATAGAAATTCATAGAAATTCATAGAAATTCATAGAAATTCATAGAAATTCATAGAAATTCATAGAAATTCATAGAAATTCATAGAAATTCATAGAAATTCATAGAAATTCAAAGAAATTCATAGAAATTCAAAGAAATTCATAGAAATTCTTTATTTACCCATTATTCTTTGCTACATTTTCTTCATCGGTGTAATACTAGTCTGGTTCTGTTTCTTTTCTTGTCGCTTTGCTAAATTTTTTGTTTTGTAGTTGTGTAAGCGAATTTTTTTGTTAAGCAATTCTTTTTATAATCTGATTTTTTATTTTTTTAATTTCTCAATATTTTCGTGAAATGGTATCGCTTTAGTAAGATCAGCTCTCACTTTAGGCTTTTGCGATGACTTTAAGTACACTTGCACTTGCAGTTTATGCATTATTTTGCGACAGCACAGTGAAAACTTTTAATATTTTCATTTAATTAAATAAATACATTCTATGCATTTGTACTGCAATTAAAAAAAAAAAAATGAAAATAGATGTAACTTATCTAGAATTACATAAGAAATATTAAATGCTCTTTCTTTTTCAAATTGTCACTCTGTATATCCTTATTAATTATAATTTTAACACAAGCATGCTGACTGGTCTTTTTCCAAGTACATTACATCAGAATCTGCACTTTGCAGGGAGTGCGAATAAGAAAATGAGACCATCAAGCATATCCTCTACGATTGCCTGACGTTATCATTTGGAAAATCTGTGTTCTGCAAGTATCGGTTAATACTGACTGATATAAGAGAAGCACCTCTAGGCGACGTTGGCAACTACATTAATTCTGTTCGCTGGCTCACGAGATAGGAGATGTCTTTCTACTTGGGATAAGTGCCATGTGTTAACCCACTCTCCATACATTGCAGATATAGATGGTCAACAAAGTGGCCATTTTAATTTTAAATTTAAATTACAAGTAATAATTTAATTTAAACTTTATTGTTTTACTTACCGGTGTAAAAGAGCAATCCATTTGGCTGCCTCGTCTTGAAATAGAAAGTTACAGAATCCTGTGCACTAACTATTGGTTCGCCCCCTGTTTGACTCAAATCGTATGAAAGGAATTCCGTACCGCGGAAGACAGCTTCTGAAGGCGCTTTATCTGTAACAAAAAAATTTAAATTAATATTGACTCATCCCCGTTATGAAGATTGTAAGAAAACCAATCAATGATCTAAACTTTTCGTTATTATAATATACTAGAGAGTAAGGTAGGTACAATTGTGCGAGCACCAGGTTTTCATAGAGATTCTCACGTTTATCCGCGAGAAATCACTTTTCCAAAGGAACATTTCAAATATGTCTTAGGCATCTGAAAGAAGACTTTATCTCTAGGTACTTTAAGAAATTCAGACACGCGACAATATGCTTATTATTTATAATAAAAATTCTTGCATTTAAGCAGATAATTATTATGTAAAGTTATTTCTTAATTCAAGGAAATGATTCTTCTTAAATTACAATTACATTTTTTTTTAAAGCTATAGAAGGTGTTTTATGATAAATAGGTGTTTATAAGTATTTTCATACTATTTAGGTATAATTCATGTAATTACAAATCATTCATAGATATTTATCAGAAAAGACTCAGATCCAATTTTTGACAAAGTGTAAAAATTTTGTTTTTTTAATGCTACCTTAAAATAGTTTTTTATGCAGTAGTTTTTCAATAATATTAAACAACAAATAATCTTCAAACCAGAATCAATAGCCTACCAACTTGGTCTAAACAGTGGCGCACAATAACTTTACCGATAGAAGAATTGATTATTTATACAAAAAAAATTAAAAAATTAAAAAAAATTATTTCAGTGTTCTTTATTCACGTTCTACGCCAATGGCAAAACTGTTCGTTTTTCTACACCTTGGCTACTACACTTTTTGTCAAAATTATTAATTAAAATCTATATTTGGAACTTCAACAACTGTATCACAAAAGTTGGAGGTATTAATATGAACTCTTGTTTGTTTAGGCCTCTACTTGACGAAAATCCATATTGTTTAAATGAGATAAAAAAACATTAGGGAACATATTGGTCAAATTAATAACAAAAAAATTATTAAAAATTGGAAAAAATTAAAATCACTTATTTTTAAAAAATCCATAATACCTAAACAAAAATGAGAACAGAACACAATTAAGATACATGTTCATCAAATTTTTAAGAGATTTGTTAACTTAATTACCACAACTTTCTCTAATTCAGAACGAACTTTTAGGAATACAAACAGAAATTATTGCTTTAAAAGATTCGTACAACACGTTCTCTATAATAATTCTACTTTTTCAAATAATATTTGACTAAAAATCATTATTTTATAGAAATAAGGGTGTAATATATTTAACCCAACTATAGAAGTGTAGCCACTTCCATGGATGGGAGTTTAGCCACCAATGGTTGACAAAACTGATCTAAAAAGGTAGTCTGTGTTTTATTAAATAATTAAGTATATAACAAAGGGTATTAAATTTAATACAAATTCGTGTAATACTAGGCATTGCTGGTTGTAAAACCAGTCGGTAAATTAAACTCAAAGTTGTCAATGTTATTGTTTAGTTTCTATTCGCTCCGTGCGCGACAGCAGCACCAATTCGTTTTGGTACTAATGGACTATTTCTGCGTATACTGACAAATATAATTTTTAATAAAATTCGTAATTAAAAAGTATATATGTTAGTTTTAATAAAAGTATATGGATTTGTAAAACAAGTAAAACATTAATTTATTATTATTATATATTTTTATCGCTTAAATTAAAGAAAATTATGTATAATCAATAAAAATCAATAATAAAATATAGGCAGGCAACAGTATTTACTGGAAAATGTATGAGAAGTTGCCTAAGTTTAATAAGTTGTCGTTGAAGAATCCAACCTATTGTCAAAATAAAAAAATACCATTAAATAATAGCGTGAAGTTAAAATGTATAAAAGAAGGATCGTTATTTATATTTTCATTTTTGTTCGAAACAAAACAGAATGAATGATTAAAACTGGTTTTCCATCAGTAATTCACAAAATTGCATTCCAGCCTCATATAATAATCAAAGGCAGAAATCTTGAAATCTAGTTCTTGCTGAATGAACATTTAAGAATAAAGGGATATTAAAGAACATCGTAAAATAATAATTTATTGTTTATTTAAAACCTTTTAAGTTTCTGATGTCTACTATTTCCAACATTACGAATTATCCGCAGCTAGCGCTAGTATCGCTTTTGCTTCCCTTTCCATGACTTCGCACGGAGCGAATACGTTCCACAACCAGAATAAGTAAATCGAACGGCTCCAAAGGGAGCAAACCCGCTCATTTCGGGGAACTCAGGGGCAGCCACAATACCCAAGGACTACAAGGAGTTTCATTCCAAGACGATCTTCATCAACCGGCAGAAGGATAAGGCCAAAAAAGCCGGCACCGCAGTCCAAGAAGTCCAATTTCAATAAAAATCTCCTTCTGATCTTTAGAGCTCATGAATTCACATTAAAAGGGAGTCATGTCACAAAATACCAACAAAATAAAGTAAGGAGAATACCCAAAAAATTACGGAGAATATCCAAAAAAGTAAGTAGAATTCAGAAACAAGCTCTGGAATCTCAAATAACGCAGATAGCGCACAGTGTAACGATGTAATTGAAAAAGTTTTCAAAAGTCATAACTCTTTTACAGTTTCATCAGCAAAATTTTTAATAACTACAAATTAAAGACACTACATTATTTTACAAAAAAATTATAAATTATGGACTTGTATCATAACACAAACTACTATGGAAAATATTAATTAATTTTTTTGTCCGAAAAAAGAACAGTATATAAAGAGTTTTACAGAGTCAATTATCGATCACAAAAAAGTCTGAAACAAATAGAGGATAGCGCGAAACAAATACATTTTGTTCCTCGATACTTTTTATTCCTCGCTAAGATATTTGTAATATAATCGCATTATGATTTGACATAACAATCCTTACTCGGAATCTGATTTACTATCTTCATCGGAAGTGTGAAAATTCTATTTCAAATGGAACAACTGTATCAGCTGTTTCAATAATATATTGAGATATTGAGGAATATATTGAGATATTGAGGAATATATTGAGATATTGAGGAATATCTTGGGTGTTTATGAGTCACCGTATTACGTAAAGAGGACAGCCTAGTATCAGATGAAAGAAGAAGCCGATTCATGAGATCTTGATTGGTATTACTACGAGATGATTTTCTTGTGTGCTTCTCTCTATACCTACGAATATCTTTATGTCTCCCTTCCAATGCTTTCTCAGATAATTGTTCAATGGGAATAAGAAATAAAGATATTATATCAGATCCATGAATTAACAGTTTGTGTAAGGAAATGGGCATGTAATACCATGAATAATTATTTAAATAAATTTGCTTTGTTTCTGAAAGTAGCTTCTTAAATTGATCAAGATTTATTTGCTTACCACTAGATATAACTCTCATAATAAGAGATAAGTTAGATATTAATGCAACATCGATTCTTGTAATTTCAGCACTTAGTGGAACATTGTTAAAAAATGTTCTGGCAGTGTTGCCATCATTACTTGACCCGAAACCAGGTCTTGGCTTATCAACGAGTAAACCCATTTTTTTCCTTAAATACTTTTTGGATTTTTAATTTTCTTTCATTAAAGATCTTTTTTGCATCATCACCTTTGACATACCATGTCTCTAATGTCTCTATATGCAATATGCAGAAGATATTCAAAGCTCCTGATCCAACAGTGAAGTGTGGATAAACCGTATTTATATTTACATTCAGTAAGTGGTTGACACTCAAAATAATCTTTATTCATATTTCTTCGCACCACAAATGTAGCAAGTTTGTGTAGAAACATTTTCAGTAATAATATTGCATACGTCAATATCATTGTTAATAACATTTCATAAGTAACAACAAGTAACGACAACTCTTATTATCTATTGCAGTTTGGATGGGTACTAACTGCTGAATAGCTTGCTCCATTTTGGTGTGCTCTTCTTTAACCAGTGATGAAGATTCTTTAATGAAAGAGAATTTAATTGGTCGATAAAATAATGTCGAAGATGGTGTTGCATTTTCCCAAATAACTTTTCCTGAACTTGGGTCAGTCAAACGGATAGGGACAAAAGCTCTCAAAAACATGAACTCGTCACTTCTTCTATAAACTAAAAATAAAATTTTGTTTACTTATATGGGGAATGACCGGAGCTACCATCATAACCCCATTTAACTGTTAGTATCAAAGAAGAGTTTTCTATCAAATCTTTGTTTTCTATCAAATCTTTCTTAACAATTTGTATAATGGATTGTACAGTCTTAGCAAGTAACTCTTGCAAATTTACTTCGACGTGAATTTCAGAAACATTAATTTCATTAATAAGTATACTAACACATTTTGTAGAGAGTAATGGGAAATGTATTTGGGTGTATTTGGTCAACATTCCTTAAAATATTATATTTTTAAGTACCAAGATCTAAGTCTTAGTATAATGCAGGGCAGAGATAATTTTTTTGTTTCAACTGTCTCAGTACTCGATATACCAGCTGCAAAACAAAGCTCTGTAGAAGATCTAGTACGTAACAAATCAGCAACTCTCCACTTCTTGGAAATTTTTGATAACTCGGTAAAATCTTTTTCAGGTAGCCTTCTTTGATATCCAGTTGTTCCCGGTTGAGCTTTAGCAACTTTTTTGGAGTTTGAGTACGTTATCACGTAGTACTCAAGAGAAATTAATTTGATACTTAGTCAGAAATATTTTCTCAGTACGACTACACTGATTACATTTCGTCTGAAGTTGCAGGCAAAGAAACCGAGAGCTATTACGAATACTTTTTTGTATTATGTTGGAAGATTCTTCTAATCTCAATTCCTTTAAAATATATGAGTTTAAGGCTGACAATCTGTCGGATTTTGGAGCGTTTTTCCATATTAGGAAACAATCGCGATATGTAATCCCATGACTTACTGCTGAAAAAAAAATCATATCTCCTAAGTTGGCAGTAATATGCAAATAAAATTGTAACAGTGAAAAGTTTATTCAACGACCTACTTTTCAGCCAAAAATAAAAAAATAATATTTGTTAATTTTTTTTAAAGCTTTAAG